TCCATTCTCAACTACAAACTGACCACAAAAAAATGCCAACCGCGAACTATAAAATCCTCGTCAAAGCCACAGAAATATAAAGATAAATGATATCAGCCATAATGTGAGTGAAGTGAGGTGGAAAAGCCGGCTGCAGAACGTCGACCATAGATACATAACACGTGCTACGTCTATGGTTTAGTAGATATCTATAATCTTATTAAAATATTATAAATGCGAAAGTTTGTTAGAGTTTGTAGCCTAAAAGACTGAACGGATCTCAATGAAATTTTGCATAGACGTAGAGGATATTTTGGAAGAACACTTACGCTACTCATTTTGTTTAATTTTCATGCGGACGGAGTCACGAGTAACATCTAGTAATATTATAAAGAAGAAAGATTTGTAAGTATTACAATAACTAAAAACTACTAGGCCGATTTACTATTCTTTCACCTTTAAAAAGCTACGTTATCAGTGAGTAACGTAGAATATAATAGGTATATTTTTTTTTATTCCACGCGGGCGAAGTCGTGGGCAACAGCTTGTGTGTAATATATGTATTTTACATACATAGATGGTTATCAGAAAACTTAACTTAATGTCTTACTCAGAGATATTTAGTAATCGCTAAGGATTACTGGGTTGCATTATTTAAGTCTGAGAGTGGAAACAGAAACCCGGTTGCAATTTCTCTCGTGTTGGATGATAAGGGGTTAAATTAGTTGGTGTCAATGAACTTGACTTGAAAAAACTGTTTTTTTATACATTAAAGTTAATGAAATTAATAGTTTTGTCTGCCAGTATTTAACAGTATTCGAGGACAAATCGAGATGGTCTCTTCCAATCTAAAGGCACAAACTTTTATAGCCCGTGTTTATCTATAGTTTTTTTTTCTTTAGCGGCAGATGTGCGCGGAAAGGACAATATTTCATATGTTATTGTTCTGTGGCCGCACGTCACGTTATGCCTTTGCCCGACGCGGTGACACTTCACTGCGATAGAAACGTTATTTGACAGCCCGCGAATATGCCGCCATATTTATTTCGATAATTAATGTAGTTGTAAAATAATGCTTTTTATAAAGTACTAACTGTTGCTTGCGGCTACACCCGTGTGAAATTAATAAAAATATAGCTTAGCGTAGCTTATAAACGGTGAAAGAATTTTTGATATCGACTCAGTAGTTTTTGAGTTATTTCAATACATACAAAAATACAAATATTTTTTGTTTGTTTTATTAGTAAAGAGTATAGATCTTATTAATATCATAAATGCGAAAGTTTAGATGGATGGATGTTTGTTAGAGTTTGTAGCCTAAACGGCTGAACGGATTTGGATGAAATTTGACATAGATGTAGAGGATAGTCCGGAAAAACACATAAGCTACTTACTTTTTTAATTCCCTGCGAATGGAGTCGCGGGCGAAAGCTAGTATTAAAATAATGAATTAAAATATAGTTAACTTAAACTTTTTTTCAGTGGTATTTAAAAAAAAATGAAATCGCAAAAATTATTTAATATTCATAACGTTAGGATACAATAATGTATATCCATACAAATAAAGGTATGAATAGTAATTGACATTACTAGAACTTAAGTGCGAAAAGACAGCAAACACTTGAATCCTCAACAAATCCGATTAAGAATCTCGTAAACATTAAAGTATCGCTGTGAAGTGTCAACCGCTTAAGCCGACATAATGCTTTTAAAATCCCAACCCAATTTAGCCAGCGCAATACCTTAAAAAACTCTATAGTCCTCATTGTGCGAATATTACTAAAGAATTACCGTCACAATCTACTCTATTTCAACGCAATAAGGTATAAAATCCTTTAATTTATATTTATTATAAAATTGTCGATCCTAACAGAACCGTTGACTTTTACTATTGAGTATTCCATTGTGCTTTTAACCACAATAGCTAATGTACTCTTGTCCTTTTTCAACAATGTCATCTATACTAAGTTCTGTGATATACAAAATTATTATTCATTCCATAAAATATAATCTGATCTTTAAATCTATGACATTAAGGATGTATTTTGCATGAACTTTCCTTCTTTGGGTGTGTAATAAGTTTGTTGTTATTTGTAATTGAGTATTTGACTTCGGTAAGTACGTGTGACGGGGTAAGACGAAGTGTATCGAATTTCAGAGACATTTTAATTATTAGCTCAGCTTGATCTATGTTCAGAAAGTGTTAGAGAATTGTTAAAGGTTGGCTACACTTGTTATGACAATTAATTTCGAAATATCAATTAAAAATAGAAATATTTACTTATTTAGCTTACAAAGACTCCGTTTGCATGGAATTAAAAAAGTAGCCTATGTGTTATTCCAGACTATCCTCTAAACCTATGACAAACATCGAGTTCTGTTCAGATTAGGCTACAAACTAACGAGCAACCATCTAAACTTTTGCATTTATAATATTACTAACTTTCGACTGCGACTAAATTCTTTCTTCGTTCTTCGAAACTATCCTCTACATCCATACGAAATTTCATCGAAATCCGTTCAGCCGTTTAGGCTACGTACTCTAAAAAACTGCCATCCATGTAAGCTTTCGCAATTATAATAAGACTAGCTTACGCCCGCGACTTCAGCATTTATAATATTAGTATGATTTAAAAATGTTAATATATAAGATGTTACTTAAAATAAATTTTATAAACATACATACTCTCAGATGACAGTTAGAGTCTAGATTAATAACAATAATTAGTATTGTCTAATATTAATAGTGACAATTATTAATGATTTTCGTAAAAAAACAATCACGACTAATAAACTGACAAAGTGTTTACACTTTCATAGTATTTTTTTAAATCCTACTAATATAAAAACAAAAGTTTATCTAGATGGATGTTTGTTGAAGTTTGTAGCCTAATAGACTGGACGGATCTCGATTAAATTCGGCATAGATGTAAAGGATAACCTGGAAGAACACATAGGCTACGTACTTTTTAATTCTGCGCAGAAGTCGCGGGGGAAAGTAGTATATAAATGTTTAAAACATTGTCGAATATTACCGTGTACTCTACACAATAAAAATATGTTGAAAATAAATCGTGGTTTTGAACAATGAGTGTAAACTTTCGCACATCTGTTCCGCCACACCCATCTGTTTAAGGGCTCCGTTTATATGACGCCCCTTTCATATCTAACCTCTGTGACAAGATATGGAACCCTTGTTGTAGTAATATAAAAAATAAAAATATTTATCGACGTTCACAGAAATATAAGAGTTGTTTTTAGTGTAAATTTTAATAAAAATAGAAATTTTGATATTCGTAATTGTAACGTAAGCGTAATAAAATATTAAACACAGCTAAAAGATATAATTAATCAGACTGTTGTTTTTTTACAATTTATAATATTCATCAAGATTGTTAGTGCAAAAGAAACAAAAAAAGTACAAGTGAATAAGCTTACACAATTTTCTGCGTAATTAGTGCCAGAGCCATCTATTGTTCAGTTTATTAACCTTAAGTTTAGGATTGAAATAACTCAAATCTTTTAGCCGATAGATGTCGCTAATTTAAAATTGTACAGGAATATAACTAGCTAGTTCTATTAAGATTCTAATTTTTCTTATAATCTTGTATGTTACTTATTCCGAATGATTTATACAATCTTATTAGAAAAAAATCTGTTATTATAATAAACTTAATGAATAGTTCCGATAAGAATTAAAAAATAATTATTTTGTAACTTTTGTTAAGTTACTTAAGTTGGACAATTTATGTTAAAACAAATATGTTTGTTACTGTACTTAATTAGAGAACAAAACAATGTCGAGTACGTAATCGATTGCTACGGGATTACGTCAGCCGCGCTACGAGGGTCGTAGAGCATGCGTAGCGATGACGTAGACTCATATTGCTACGGAATGACGTATTCTTAACGTCTACGGGTATGCTTTTACTATGAATAACAATTTGTTAAAATCTTTTAGATTTTATTCTATAGTTTTTTTTGAATACATTAAAATATAGAATAAAATACAATAAGATTGTTATACAATCTTACTAATATTGTAAATGCGAAAGTTTAAATGGATGGATGGATAGATGGGTAGATGGATGGATGGATGGATGGATGTTTGTTAGCGTTTGTAGCCTAAACGGCTGAACGGATCTCCATGAAATTTGGCACAGGTTTAGAGCATAGTCTAGAAGAACACATAGGCTACTTTTTATCCCGGGAATAGTTACGGTTCCCGTGGGATTTATTAATTTACTTTTTTAATGTTTACTCCATCATTCTGCAACGGTTCAACATATCTTATTGAAATTTAGCACAGATATAAAACAAAGTCTCGAGTACACATGGGATAAGTTTCATCCCCGAGAAGTGTCGGGTTCCCGAGGGATACGTAGCTTTTTATAATTTATATAGTTCATATGTTTTCTAATACCACGCGGACGAAGTTGCGGGCAACAGCTCGTAGCACATAATCTTAAAATAAATTGGAGGAGTTTTACATAAATGAGTTATATAATACTACAAATAGACAATACATAGTTAAAAATAAAAGAAAAAATATATGACATCATTAAATAAAAATTGCATAAACCAATGTAAATCGCTTAGTAGTGTTCATTCATTGAAATTACCCTGTGATAAAATGAAAGAAAACAAACAAAAACCCTCTCAACTTTCACCACAATGAAAATACCTTGCAATTATCCATAACAAGTGTACGCCATGTCTTCATTTTCTGTCAATGCTGTAACATTTTTATTCAATAACTTATAACAAGGAATACATTCTAAAAACAACCTTATTTTCCACTTAATAAAGTCGAATTTCATAACGAACGTATACCAATATTACAGATTAAATATTAACAAACAAATATAAACTTTATAAGTATAAAAATAAAAATCATAAATGAATAATGCAGATGTTTTTAGTTTGTGGGTTTGAAGACGCGCAGACGCGAGATTTCTACTTCTGCCACAGTCGGCTTGGCGGCGCCACTGCGCTCGGACGCGTTGCTAACCTCTTGGGGATACCGGCCACTTTATTCTGTGATCCTGATTCAATTGTGCGTTTTTAAAAAGGATTCCTTCAATCCGATCCTTGTTTCCAATTAACTCTATCATATATCTTACTCAAAAACCATAATAATCAATTCTCATCTTTACTCTAAAATTAATTAAATGATTTCTTAAAGGATTCTAAATATCGATAGTAACAATGGGCGTTATATTTTAAGCTTCTTATCCAGGGGTGCCAAACATTTTCAATAGCGTGTGTTAGTTACGTAACGTCGCCGGGGAAAATCGATATCCTGAGCGTATAAATAGCGACCTACGATTGAGAACAGCTGGCTGGCCGCCAGACAAAATGCAGGCTGTGGTGAGTTATACGAATCATTAATAAAAAAATTACAAGCATGTAGCTTTTAGGGCCTGTCCCACTACTGGCTGATAGAGGCTCAGATAACTTATAAATGACGTCACAGTCAGATAAGGGAACAAAATCCGATATTTCCATCACAATTTGGTGGGACAGGCTCTTAGAATATCATTAACATGCTAACAAGATTCTTATTTGATAGTCACCTAAAGGTGTGTACTTAGTGTATGCGATGTGTTGAGAAAGGGTTAATATTTCAATCCTTTTCCTTACAGCGTTGGCACTGTATGCTCTACTTTATCATACATCTATCTGTCGTCATATTTGAGTAAACTCCGATCTTAAGAATATCTTCTTTCACCGCAATCCATCGACACTTTCTTCCGTCTTTCTTTGTGTTCTGAAAAAGAACATAATAGTAAAATATTACATTTAACTACATTATAATCTTACTTTTTGTATGGATGGATGTTTGCTAGCACTTAACACCAAAATCCATTGATCTAGATGGAATTTAGAAGTTGTAGAACATACTAAAAATGATTTTTATAGTCATCTGCAATAGTAAATTAATAATTTCTTTAAAATAACATAAGCAAGAAATGATTTTCTGGTTTAAAATACAATCTACAAAGATAACCTATGTGACATTGTCTTCAATAGATAAGTGTTATATCTAATATTTGTAATAATTTACACATTATCAAAGCATACGATACAATCATAGTCATAGTTGTCCCACTGAGCGTCCGAGCCACTCCTTGCCATGCATTTTATAAAACTACCCCTCACTATTCCTTCCGTTTTCTAATATTATTCTGACAATATTGTGGTTTTAAATAAAGATTTAACAAAAAAAAACTTTTAAGGATATATTAAAGTAGTTAAAAAGCTAACAATACTAATATTTTTTTTTATTATGAATGCGAAAGTTTAGAGGGATGGATAGATGTTTGTAGCCTAAACGGGTGAACGGATCTCTGTAAAATTTGGCATAGATGTAGAGGATAGTGGAACAACAATAGGCTGATTACTTTTTGTTTTTTTTTTTATTCCATTCGGTTGGAGTCGCGGGCGGAAGCTAGATATAATTCTGTTACAGAAGTCTGAGGTAAATGTTGTTTTTTTTAATTTTATTAACCTAAAAGCTAGGGTAACATAAAAAGTATTTTTTATACAAGTGTAACATTTGATATTTGCTTCATTTTTAATTGTAGGTTAGTTCAACGACGCGTGTGCACTTCTTGATGTTAAAATTAACGAACGAGTTTCCGCGTATTTTTTGCTATTAATATAACAGTATTACACTGTATAATAATAATAATGAAGCCTCTTTATTTCCATATCTAAGATTTTTACAATTGATTTACATAGTATTCTAATATATATCTTATCTATCTTATTAATCTTATTAATATTATAAATGCGAAAGTTTAGATGGATGGATGTTTGTTAGCGTTTGTAGCCTAAACGGCAGAACGGATCTCCAAGAAATTTGGCACAGGTTTAGAGAATAGTCTGGAAGAACACATAGGCTACTTTTTATCCCGGGAATAGGTACGGTTCCCGTGGGATTCATTAATTTAGTTTTTAATGTTTACTCGATCATTCTGCAACGGTTCGACATATCTTATTGAAATTTGGCACAAATATAAAACAAAGTCTGGAGTACACATGGGATAAGCTTCATCTCCGAGAAATGTCCGGTTCCCGAGGGATACGTAGCTTTTTGTAATTTATATAGTTTGTATGTTTTCTAATACCACGGGTACGAAGTCGCGGGCAACAGCTCGTTGACTTATAAAAAGTATGTACAAGTTTTTGCGTTAGTATTGTTAGTTTCTTAGTTTTAGATATGGATCCCGTGTTGGGTAAAGGCCTCCTCCGCCGTTTTCCATGCCCTTCTGTCCCTGTCAAGCATCATCCAGTCGTTTCCTATTTTATCAGTAATGTCATCAGCCCACCGTTTATTAGGTCTTCTAACTCTTCTTTTTCCTCCTGGTCCCTTCCATTTCGTTGTTTCTATAGTCCACCGAGAGTCAGTAAATCTGGACAGGTGTCCAGCCCATTGAAATTTTACACTGTACATCCGTGCAAATAGTTATCTTTTATTTAAAAAGAAAATAAAGATGATAATGCTTCTATTTTGTTGATTTAGGATTGGTATATGCAAAGTAATGTGTACAAAGTTGACGTACGAAATGATTTTAATTTTCTTTGTCTTATAATTTTGTGTTATTTGGAACACTCTGTATAAAGTTCAATATTTTAACCAATTCAAACATCAATGGATATCTTTTAGTGAGTAGAGTAAACGGATACGATTCTAATTAAACATTGGATAATCTAAATATAATAGGATAAGAATAGGGTTGTTAATTACATTTAAAGATATGTGTGCTTGTACAGTCGAGGAAAGTGGTGTTTGAACATTTTAAAACGAGAGTCGGAACAAAAACCAATATAACGCAGCTTATAAATATCTGTACGAAAAAAAATCGGTTAGTAATACACGGCTAGTTTCTTATTATCATTATCCCTTTTTGCACTCACTGCTATCTAATTAGTTTTTTTTTTATAACATAAGATGGCAAACGAGCAAGCGGCCACCTAAATCCGCCAAAATGGCGAAGCGACCGCTGCCCATAGATATCTGCAATTGCAGATGCGTCGCCTACCCTTATCCGACGAAGGAGAAGACGCACATAAAGAGGATATTTCCTCTTCCTATGCATCTCATCCATCGTCACATCCACTTCCCATCCTCTCATAAGAAAAGGATGGTAAAGAGGAAGGGAATTAAATTAGGCCTCCGGCACCACACTCATCAGACGAAACACGGCATTGGTTCCATTTCACGCCTGTCTTCTGTGTGGTCGTGGTATTACACCGGGCGTGCCGGCCCTTCAGTGCTAAGATGTTAAAGCGGGCACTACCACTAAAGTAGTTATTTGTAGGCGGAGTTTGTCTTGTTGCAATGAACAAGGTATTTTTGCCAGAAGTAGCACTATTAACAGAATTTAAGACACATATTTAGATGTTTCAATATTAAGCCGATAAGCTTAAAGCAGTCCCAGTGCTAGAGAAGGTAAGAAGTAAAAGGTGTTGAAGTTATGAGGGATGAATAGCATGTAACAAGGAGAACGTTAGTTATGAGTGTGGTACACCGGTAGTAGACATAGAAAGAGATGGATGGATTGCGTGAAAGGTGACATGATCAAGGGAGTGATGACTGAGATGACCTATGATAGTTATTTGGAGGACAAAAACCTGTTGCGCCACTACGGGAGTTGGATAAGGAGAAAGATGATGATGAAGCAAAAGTATTATAAAATGAAAGACAATAGTAATTCTGCACAATTATCTTACTAATATTATAAATGCGAAAGTTTAGATGGATGGATGGATAGATGGATGGATGGATGTTTGTTAGCGTTTGTAGCCTAAACGGCTAAACGGATCTCTATGAAATTTGGCACAGATTTAGAGCATAGTCTGGAAGAACACATAGGCTACTTTTTATCCCGGGAATAGTTACGGTTCCCGTGGGATTCATTAATTTAGTTTTTTAATGTTTACTCGATCATTCTGCAATGGTTTAACATATCTTATTGAAATTTGGCACAGATATAAAACAAAGTCTGGAGTACACATGGGATAAGCTACATCCCTGAGAAATGTCCGGTTCCCGTGGGATACGTAACTTTTTGTAATTTATATAGTTTGTATGTTTTCTAACACCACGCGGACGAAGTCGCGGGCAACAGCCCGTTAATAAATAATTACTTCTCATATATAAAAATATTGTCTAATTCTAACCTCGTAGTATTAGTTTAGAATACGAGAAAAGCTTTATACTTTTTTTTATAACATAAGGTGGCAAACGAGCAAGCGGCCACCTGAATTCGCCAAAATGGCGAAGGAACTGCTGCCCATAGACATCCGCAACTGCAGATGCATTGCCCACCCTTATCTGACAGAGGAGGAGACACACATAATCTCCCCTTCCTATGTATCTCCTCCTCCGTCAAATCCACTTCCTCTTCCTATCCTCTCCTTATAAGAAAATGGTGGTAAAGAGAAAAACTATATACATACTTTGGAAGTATTACGTCAAGTGACATTCATTTGGAAAAGAGCCAGCTTCAACTTGGTTTAAGTTATTGAAGCAACAAATAGAAAGGTTTTCTCGTAATACGTAACTTAAATGGATTACTGAGAGATGTAAAAGTTTTTAACTCTAAATATTGTTTTACTTTTTACGTATTTAATGTGTTTCATTTAAGTTTATTTATCTATTTATGGAAGGCGCAAACCAATGATCTAGGCTAAGTCTAGGTTACATTTCTACTATTTTTGAGCCTTGAAGGAGCTGTCACATATATCCTCTGATTACGCCCATAGATCAAAATATACAATTAATAAAATTGGAATGAATGTAATACTTCAATACTAATATTATAAAGAGGAAAGATTTATATTTATGTAGTTTTGTATGTTTTGAAATAACTACTAGAAGAGGAAATATCCTCTTTATGTGCGTATCCTCCTCCGTCGGATAAGGGTAGGCGACGCATCTGCAATTGCAGATGTCTATGGGCAGCGGTCGCTTCGCCATTTTGGCGGATTCAGGTGGCCGCTTGCTCGTTTGCCATCTTATGTTATAAAAAAAAAACTACTAAGCCGATTCTAAAAATTCTTACACCATTAAAAAGCTGCGTTATTAGTAAGATAGGCTATATATTTTAATTTCACGCAGACGCAGTCGCGAGCAACAGCTAGTATGATATAAAAATATTTATTACGTAAACATGATCTAATAGCGTTGCTTACATCGAAAACCCATATTCTTGTCTGTCTAAAAATTCGCGTTCGTTTGTTATAATCTCCTAAACTGAAAGGCATGCTCAGAATAAACGAGATATTTTAAGTAAGATACTTAGATCTTCATTATAAGCGTACCTAAATCCATATAGTGACGTAACTGTAGGTATCGACAA